CTCATCAAAATTCAGAAATGTATAGCAAATCACCTTACATGGTCATTTTATTTCTGAACATTTGACCTCTCAACTATCATACTTATGGAGTTTCTCTAAACAATTAAAATGTGGACTAAATTACACCTTTGGACCTTTTGTCAATATTTTAATAACTATAGTTATTAAAAATATTGAAATGGATATGTAGTTTATAACTACAAGTCTACAACTCAAGAAACATGATAAACTAAACATTGATTTCTCAGAAAGAATGAGAAACAGAAGCTCTTTAGCTTCTAATTTAGGAAACTGACTCTACATACCTTTCCTTTGGACCAAGCAATTGAATAGTAAGAATCAGGAAACGGAAACTCTTTAGGCTAGAACTTGAGAAGAATCGGAAAGAATCACAAAACACAAACTCTTTAGGAAATTTATTTTGAAAATTGTCTATAGAATTAGAAATTCCCTTCATTGTAAGGATAAATAATATTCTGTATAAGAATAAGAATATGTGCAAAGTGAGGATTTGTTATAAACAGGTATAGAATAGTACAGAAATAAAATAAAGGAGAGGTTTAACTATATGAGTGTAAAAGGGAGAAGATAGGTCGTTCGATTGGGAGAAGATAGGTCGCTCGATTTTCTGGAGAAGAGTTTTTTATCATCAACAGAGGACTCTATTCATATCAAAAAATTCGGGATCATTACATCAAGCAAAGAGAAAATAGAACTGACACCAACTGAAACTCCAACAACTACGACTGTAACCCTATGGTGAGATTTTGAGACGGTCACCCTTGAAAGAGTAACGCGAATCGCTAACCATGTAGTGGGCTTGACACAGCCAAACCTGTTTCCATAGATTAAACCATACCCAATGACATAAAGAAAGGCTAAAAACCCAAACAAATTGTCAAAACTAACAATAAAGATGAACACAAGAAAACAAATGACAAACAGATAAAAATTACTAGGAAAACTTTTACGGACTCTAGCACCTCGTACAACCCATGGTGGTGGTTCAGACGAAGGTCGGACCGTCGCTCGACTGATACCCTCTTTTAGTGGTGTACCCGCCATATGACTCAAATCCAAGCCATCAAATGGAGCGTTCAACCTCTCTACGCTAACCATGTCCCGATCATCCCTACGTCTCTCTCTCGCTTCTTCCACCATCTTCTCGCTGCCGCGATCATCCATCCCAAGCTACGTCCAAACCACGGCAATCCAGCGCAGTGGTGCGTCAATTGAAAGAAACGCCGCACCAGGGCGGCGAAGTAAAAACCCTACGTGAGAGATCTCACTAGGGAAACACTGACCGAAATTCGAGAATTACCTAGTTGTGGCTCTGCCCTAGGAGCTCTCAATGGCAAACCCTCGTTTTCTAGAGGAGACACGCACAAAATACTTGGAGAAGAGTTAGAAGACTTTACTACTTCGTATTAGGTTAAAAGTTAATTAAACTTGAAAGTAATTTTAGTTATATACGTTATGTTAATACGAAGTACTTCGGTTCCTATATAGGAACTTCGGTTCCAACATATATGTTAATGGTTAAAACCGGAACCGAACCGTATTAATATGTTAGGAAACGAACCTAAAATTTTACAAGTCAAAACATTTAGGAACCGAATCAAACCGGTAATATCGGTTCGGTTCGGCTCGGTTTTCCCGGTTTTCCGGTTCTAAGTCCCAGGCCTATTCTACTAGTTACGTAGTGAGTTAGTGCCCAATCATGAAGTATTACCTCAATTGCCCAAAGAATGTTCTAAAACTCTACTTGTACACCATTCCTATATATGCGTTTACAAACGTTATATAACCTTCTTTCTTATTGTTTTTCTTTTTTACTCTGTATCCTTTTTCTCTGCATTCTCATGCACTTCATGCCCTTCCTGCACACTACTTCGCCCGAAACTTCTACCTTTCTTTTTCCTCTTCATTTTTCTGCAACTCTCCATTTCCAAATCAATATTTTTACAGACAACTTTTTATACTCAAGTTACTCTGTCAACTCTTTTTCAGTTTTCAACTCATAGACTCAGACCTTGTTGGCACTGGCCTCCAAGTATCGATCACCGATGAAACCCCATGCATGTTCAGCCACCACTTTCCCTTACCAACACCGCCTAAGGTAATAACTCTCTTCTTTTTCTCTAATGTGATTTAGTGTTTTAATTTTATGTGATACTCAATGGGGAGGTATAGTAATACTAAAGAAACCGGGGATGAATGACAATGTATATGAGTACGGATTTGGGAAAGGGTAATGCAGAAGGAGGAAAATAAAAGAGGTAAGGGATAATTAAGAGAGGGAGAGAGGAGTGTACAAGGAGAGAAGAGAGTGGAGATTAAAGAGTGGAGAATGCAATGAATCTCACTCTTAAAATAGAATTAGGGCCAGAATGGCAAGTACCTTGATTTTAAAATTAGAAATTACCCTAAATAGGACTAAAACTAGGGTAAAAATTCAAAATAGGACTTCTTATGTTTTTATTCCTAAATAGGACCAAATTACTCCTATTATAAATATAGAGAATTTGTCATTCCATTACTGCCCATGCTTTGTTATCCGATGGATCCACACTGCAAACACATCCGGATAGATTTATTCTCTCGCACCGCAACACTTCGATCAATTTCTTCTCCCCCTCCACACCATCATCTCTTCTCTTCTTCTCAATTCTCACCAGATCCATCCATTCCTTCGGCCCTGCATATTAGATCAATTTCATCGCCGACGTTGCCGACGACTCCATCAGTCCACCCCCTGCACGCCGCCGTTTGGTCAGTTTTTCTTCTCCCTCCTCTTCCTCTTCTTCTCCTTCTTCTCCCTCTTCCTCTTCTTCTCCTTCTTCTTCATCCTCCTTCCTATTATTCTATTTATTGGCTTTGAAATTGATTTTTTTGATTTTTCTTCTATTCCTCTATTTTTTTGTTCTGTGTTTCGATTTGTTGATTTTTTATCTTCTATTTTGCATTTCCGTTTTCAAATTTCAGTAATTTTAAAAAATTTCAATTTTCCAAATTTTTTTGGATGATGGAATAAATATTTGCCAAGTTTATGGCAAAAATGAGCACACCTACTATCATTTATGGCAGAAGAGATTTTTTTGTAAATATGCTTTTATGATGTTTTGTCACTAGTTTCGTAAATTTAATATTTATTGTGTTTGAGTGTTTCATTTCATTCAAAAAAATATTTTTCAATATTTTGTTGGTATTTCATATTTTTGCCAACAGTATGGCAGTTTGGTGTTCTTCCAAGATTAATCTGCCACTTTTTTGGCATATCTTAAACTTCATATTAATGGCAGATTAGGTTAAATGTGCCAACTTAATGGCAGATTTGTAATCATCCTTCAAGGCTAAATCTGTCAACTTAATGGCAGATCTACGACACTGGAGTTGTGACGGCGGCGGTGCTCGGAGGTGAATGGTGGAGATTTAACATCGACGGCCATGAGGGAGTTGTGACGGCGGTGACGGATGTCAACACCAGTTGGGCGGTGATGGTGTACCGGTAGGGATGCGGGAGTAGGTGGCTGGCGGTGATGGTGTACCGGTAGGGATGCGGGGGTAGGCGGTGCCGGCAGATGTTGGCGGCGAGTGGTGGCCGTAGACGGCGCCGGCGGAGGGTGGTGGCGGCGTACGGTGACGCCGGTGTGAGAGGCCGCATCTTCAATTTGCCTGGAATTCCCTGCGCTAGAATTCTCTTTCATTTAATGAAATGTAGATCCTTATTTAATATAAGGGTATTATGGTCCACTCATGCTTAAATAACTCCTACTAAACATAACATACGAAATCAGTCCTATTTTAGCATTTGACGTGTCCTTTTGTCCTATATCAGTAATTAACTCTTTTAAAATAGTCCAGTCTCTAATACTCAAAATTAAACACGATAACAATTAAATAAGACTAAGTATTCACATGAGAGGTTTTTTTGGCTAAAGGGTCAAGCAGATCTTTATACTTCCAACATCTGCACACTTCGGTCTCTAAATTAGAAAAGAGTTTTTCTATAGGTACCCCAAAATGGGGTACCCCATTTGTCACCCACCCTATTGGGTGGGCACAAATGAGCCAACCCATTTAAGTGGTGCCCCACTTAAATGAGTTGCCTCATTTGTGGCCACCCAATAGGGTGGGGGACAAATGGGGTACCCCATTTTGGGGTACCTTTAGCTTTTTCCATTAGAAAATGACTAATTCGCCCCTTGAAGTCTTGAACTAGTAAAAAAAATTAAATTCATTTTTATGACACTAATTATTAATCACGTCATTCTGTCAATCGCTGACAGGTAACAAAATGTTTAAATAAGCTTATGAACATGTCAAGTTTGTTCAACTCAACCCATAAATTATTAAAAAAATGTCAAAATTGAAATAAATTCAAAAAATATAATAAATGGAGAGATAATTTGGCATTTATAGGCGCGTTTGTAGTAGGTATCTTTAAATCAATGTTACTCCGTATAATTTTAAAAAATAAAGTTTATATCCTTTTTTATTTTCTATAAACTTATCAACGAAGTGTCTCTAAGAATAACACAAAAGACGAATAACACAAAAATCCATATAATTTGGTGTCAATTCAATACATATTTCATTTACGATTGGATCTTAGTTTTTACTTCATCATGTTTTATATATTAACCCCTAAAGTGGCACACATTTTATTAAAAATAATAGGAGTTATTAACTTATAGTTATTCTATTCTATTTTTAGGCTATATATAGCCATTTCTCTCAAAATCTATTGCTGAGTATCCGACTATCCATTATCCATATGACATCAATGTAATTTGGAACGGATCGGAGTATGAAAGGTACATTATAATGATCAGGTGAATCTAACAAATAGATCCGAGCGATGAGCTAGTTTTAAATAGCTGTCTAGCCTAACCTAATGTATTATCCGCTGTGAGATCAAATAATTTTGCCAAAACACAATGTAACAACAAAGAGATTGGAAAGTATAGATAGATAGTTCATTGGTACGCAGAACAAATGTAGAAGTAAAATGTATAGAGAGGGTTCACCATTGACGATATTGTTCAGCCATGCACCAAACAATATAATATTCCGTAGTCAATTATATTACAACACACCACCAAAGTGTAGGTACACATGTAGTATATAAATATATATAGTGGCCGGCTGACCCGAAGAATAAGGAGGCCGAGTACCTGGTGCACTAATAATTACTCCCTCTATCCCTCCAAATTTAGAGATATTGACTTTTGTGGGTAATAATAAAAAAAATTGAGGAGAGACTTTCGTTGCCATATTTGTGTAAATTTTGTGAAAAATTGTGAAGGAAAAAATCAAAAGGGTTTTTCATATTTTAAACAGCTAGTTTTGTATTAAAAGTTGATGAAATTTGATACACTACAAAAAAAATACGGGATTGACAGAAATTTGTGATATGAATTTTCCGAAATTAGCAAGCATTATATTTTGGCAGAGATGTGCAAAATTCGTGCTAAAAAGAGTTTGACACAATCTATTTGGCACGAAATTTTTGAAAAACTAGTGTCAAATTCGTGTTGATCCCATAACTTTTTAGTAGTAATAGTGTGTATGTAATTTTGTCACAAATTAGCTAGTTTGGTGACTTAATTGAGGGTGGGCATTAATTGCAAGCAGGCAGGCGCAAGTCCGGCAGTCGAACAAAAACAATGGAATAGGGCGCCACAGTTATGTTGTGCACCGAAGGGACAGTTACCGGGTCCAATCTATCCGGGACCCCGCTCAGTTCTCTCCCGTTTAGCCGCACGGTTCGGCTGCTTAAATCTCCCGCCTGAGCTGGCTTCAAGTGATACTCTTCTCTGGTGTAATTGGCCGTTGGGTTTCCATACCCGGCCGGCCAAGGGCATGCTCCCCTCCTATTCTTGCCCACGCATTTTAATGATAGTGTGTCAATTGTGACATTGGTGCCACTGTCTAAGTTCATCAACAACATCGTTACTCCTCCCTGCCGCCATATATGCATGCAAAAACATCCCATATTAGTAAGGTTTTCATACACTAAAACTGATTCTTAAATTAAAATTGATTCACCTCTTTCAGAGAACAGAAACAAAAGTTGAAGTGTTTGGCTGAAAGTATAGAAGTGATTCTGATCCTCTAATTTATTTCTAGAATAAATTCTTTTAGAAGTTGGGGGACCCAATTCCAAAAAATTGATTCTGATTCTGATTCTGCTTTTTAAAAAATCAGAAATAGAATCAATTCCAAATTAAACATCCCCTAAGCGAACTTCCTTTTTTATATAATCCGTACTAATCTTTACCATATATTACCTACACCTTCTCAAATTGTTTAGGAAAGTCATCATTTTTTGTCAATCAATTTTAGAGTTAAATTCTCTCCATAGGTAATTAGTTCAATTTTAACAATTACAATTTACATATTAAGAAACTATATTAAAATATCTATAAGATTGTAAAATCCAAACTAAAATTTAATTAAGACTTGATATCCCAAGTGAATAAAATAAATGTGTTTGACCCAAACAAATCAATTTTGATATCCCAAGTTTTAGCAATTACCCATGCACTTCTTATCTATGTTGTAAGATCCGAACCGGACCGGGCGGGTCGACCCGGAACCCGGTCACCAGGAGCCCAATCCGGTCCGGTATCTAGGGATGGCAACGGGGCGGATCGGGGACGGTTTTACATATAACCGTACCCGCCCCGTTTGGTAATTCCCCCGCCCCATAACCGCCCCATTACCCAACGGGTAATTTTTACCCAAACCATAACCGCCCCATCGGGTAACGGGTATAACCGCGGGTAACCGTGGGTAATCACTTTATTAAATGAGTCATTGATATTTTAATAAAAATAATATTTTAAAAAGCAAAAAATGACATCACCTATACAACGCTAAACTCATACGCTACTTTACAGCTTCATATATCTATAAGACGAGAAAGAAGACAACCTAAATTAATTTTAACCTAAAAATACTTAATGTGAAAAATAATTAAACACGAAAAATCATATAATAATCAAACAAAACTATTAAGTTCTATTGAGAACTTTCATTCTTACACTATAGTTAGTACATCTATTATCCATATATACACAATGAACATTAAAAATCTCATCTTTTATTAGTCGTGGGACAAATAATAGATAAGAATGTAATAAAAATATAACTAAAAATAAACGGGGCGGGTACGGGGCGGGTAATGGGGCGGGCATGCATAAAACCGTAACCGCCCCGTTACCCGTAAAAACAAAACGGGTATTCCCCGCCCCATACCCATTACCCGGTCAATACGGTTTTCCCCATTTTGACCGGGGCGGTTCGGTGCGGGTATCCATCGGATCGGTCACAATTGCCATCTCTACCGGTATCTCATCAAACCGCTAATGTAGCCGAAACCGGATTTACCTGGCTGACCGGCTGAACCCGGACCGTAACCGGGACAGCCCAAACCCGGATTTTCCGTGAAACCGGGAATAATGCGCAAAATTACGCACCCGAAGGGATTCGAACCTGGGTGTATAGAGTGAGCACCCTGCAACCAAACCTCTAGACCAAGTTAAGGTGTTTGTTCGTTATTGTTTTTTTATTGTACTTAATCTGTTTCGGTCAAATACATTAAAAGCTAACTAGTACTTCTTAAAATATAATAAAATTAATCATAATAAAATATAAAAACATTAATAGATACTCAGAACTATTATAATAATAGTAACTGAAAGTATATACATAACATTTAATTTTTTAATAGGCATCATATTTGTATTTGTAGTCAATTTAATATAAAACACATTTTGTATTTTGTTAAAACTTGTATATCTAAGAATAATAATTTAATATCTATGTTGACCGGGTTTTCCGGTGTTGACCAGGTTGACCCTCCGGGTCCGGGTTGACCCGTGACCCAGTCACTCGGCCGGATCGCTTCCCGGACCGGTTTTTACAACATAGCTTCTTATCTAGGTAGCACGGAAACTCTCGGGAAAGAGTACGTTTCCCGTTTCGGAAACTCTCGGAAACTCTTTGGAAACTCTCCAAATAAGCCTTTTTTGAGCAAAAGTTGACGTTTTCCGTTTCCCGTTTCCTCATGATTTTCGCGTTTCCGTGCAACTTAGCTTCTTATAAGTTATAACTCATATGCGTAGATTGTTGTTACTCGTATTATAATATATGGAGACTTTTTGTGTAGTCTCCTAAGGTCTGTGTCTGCCTCAAACTTTGTCACTGGTACGAATTTGTTCATATTAAGATTTTTCCACAAAAATATACGCAGTACTACGTACGGAGTACTATTTTTGTGTAGGTTACGTACATTTGTGTTTGGATTATTTGTCTTTGAACAATGGATATAACCACGTATCACGCCGCTGTTGGTCCCTACAAAAGCTGTGGTGAGCGATTTGGGTCCCATCAATTTGTGCCAAAGAAGAGCACTGCACGCAAGAAAGGAATTCAAGGGTATAAATAAATAAATAAATAAATAAATAAAATATTCACCCGATCGAGCTAATATTAATTACTTCCTCCGTTCTTTTTTAGTTGCAACATTCAACATTTCATATTTGCCAACGCACATCTTTGACCGTAATTATATCTTAATCTCTATTGTTAAAAAATATTTAAAAATTAGACTTTGAAAATTTGTAATGAGATGAATTGAACAATATAATTTTTAAAAAATAATTTTCATAAAATAATAATATAAAATGTAGTCAAAGTAGAACATGTGAATAGTGTAAAATTCAACATGTTGCGATTAAAAAGAGACGGAGGATAGTACTAATTAATGAGCAGTATAATTTAATTAAAAAACCAAGGGCCTGGAACAACAAAAGATCGACCGATCAATCGGATGGCTGTTAATTAATTATTAATTGCATGCATTTCAAATTAAAATTTAAATTAAAAATTACGAACGTACCTGTAGTAATCGGGATTTGGGAGGAAGGTAGTAGCGTCAAGTAAACCGTAGTTCCCTCCGATTAGTGTCTGTCGGCAGTATGTTTTTGTGTCATACCGGGCCGACGTCCCAAGCTGGTCCAGGTACCTATATATTCGGGCCATCAATTTCATTATTCGGTTTGCTTTTAATACTCCGTATATAAAAGCAAATGATGCAAATTTTAGCAATTAAGAAAAAAAAAGGACGACACCCAGTCCCTGAGGGCCCCCCAACAACGACCGGACGACATGATGGGAGGATGTAAATTGGACTATAATCACAATCTGACAGATAGAGAGTGAGACTCTGTCCCCGGTACTTGCAGAATCCCTATGCATTTTTCAGCATAGTAACCCCTCATCGTAGTTGCCGGGATTCGAACCCGAGACCTAACCCTTGTGGCACTCCCTCGCTACCAGTTGAGCTACGCCCACCGGTAAATGTTACTACCTCCGTCCCACTAAGATTGGGATAGAAGAAGGTGGCACGATTATTAAGAAAAGTGTGTTTGTGTGGTTGATATTAAATTGATAAAGTAAGAATAAAGTAAGAATGATTTAGAGCCACACAATCTTTACCAAATTTGGTATGAGACAATCTTAGTGGGACTTCCCGAAAAGGTAAAATGGGACAATCATAACGGGACGGAGGGAGTAGCATTTAAGGAACATATACACTACGTAGTACTCCCTCCATATTTCCTTTTTGGACCGTCCCAAATTGATAGTCTCATTTCCCTTTAAGGGAAGAAATATGTGGTCCAAATCATTTCATCCTTTTCTACTCAAATTTCAACTACAACTTTTACCTTTTCAACCACTTCCTTAATCTTTGAACTCAAAAGAAATGGGATCATCAAATTGGGACGGAGGGAGTAGTATACACTATCTCCTGTCCCATAAAGTAGTTTTCACTCCAACTTGGACTGAAGTTTAAGAAAATGAGAATAAAGTGGAAATGTATGATTGTGATTGAGCAAAAGAAAAAAATAATACACCAAAAGATATGATAGCCACACAGGGGCAGAGCCAGGGCACCAGGTCAGACTGGGCAGTACAAAGAATATTTTTGAAAATTTCTTTACACGAATTTTATTACACCAAAAATATATACATTTTTAAAATTTGGGCTAGGTCAGGACTAGATCCGGCCCTCCCCCAGCTATGCCCCTGTTCACAGAAAACTTTTCAAAAAGAGAATTGCGAACTATTTTTTGAAACATCCTAAAAAAGAAAGTGGAAACTATTTTTGGGATAGAGGGAATATATGCAAGAAAGTACAACAAAAAGAGAGAGTGATTTTGTCCATTATACTTGGTACCTATTTTGTCCATTTCGCTATATATACTACTGTACATTATATTGGTTCTTAAATAAATACTATAGACAACATATTGAATTTTTATACTATTCACAAGTTTTACTTTGATTACTTTTTTATTTATTGTTTTCTTAAAAATTATTGTTCAATTCCTCGCATCGTAATTAAATTTTCAATTTTTTTTTTAAATTTCTTTTACTAATAGAGAATTATATATATCAGAGGTTAAAGTTGTGCATCGGCAACGTGAAATGTTGACTGTTGCATTTATTAAAGAACGGATTATCACAGTTACGTTGTAGAGAAAATTTGTTATATAAGACTAAAACATAAACAAAGAGCACATGTAAGATTATATTGTTTTCTTTCTAAAATAGGACTTATTCACACCTAATAGGGGAAGTTTATACTTTTAATAGGATGAAAAAAGTATGATTTCGAAAATAAAATATATGTAGTCCTATATAATGCATTCCGTTAATTTGAACTTACCAGAAACTATTAACGAATGCGTTTGACGCGTTGGGCGCGCCGCTGTTGTACGCCCCTCCAGATTCGCCCACCCAAGCAACGACTTTGTGCCTCCGGGAGGGATTGTAGTTTTTAAGAAGTTCATGCAGTGGAATGAAGTCATTGTTTGCTGAAGAATTAGCAACCGTTTCCAGGATTTTGCCTATCACGTTTTTACTGCTCCCTGTTATATAATATGCTATGTATAATTAGCCGGCAATGAAGAAACATCCACAAAATATATTACCTGCATATTTCAATATGAGTGCGGCCCATAAAGTAATAATTTTGAAAAAAAAATGTTTAATAGATCGAAATACATAACTTACACTCACAAAAAATATACGGATGGGACTTTCGGAGTGTTGAAGTCTCATACCGGAAATCTATAAAGTAATAAAGTGCTATATTAAGATTTGGACTACTCCCCCTTTTAATTAGGATGGAACTCCGAGTCTTAACATGATATCAGAGCCAAACCGATCCATAACCATGGTGTGGGTCCCTTATAACAAATGACGACACGATTATAAAAATGTCAATGACGAACTGAACCGACGAAAGAATGAATGACGGCACGATCCAGACGAAGTGTATGGTCGTGAGGAGGTGTGTTGACGTCCCACACCGGAAATCTATAAAGTAATAAAGTGTTATATTAAGATCTGAACTATTTCTTTTAAGATGTTACCTCGAATCTTAACACAAAGTGGATTCTTAATTCCAAGTAGAGTAACCTAATTAATTGCTCATATAAAGAGACCAAACAACATGCATGCATGTAATCTAATCTCCTGTTCGTACGTTTCTCCATTGTTTAGTTCTATGGAGTATGTTTCACGCTCCCGTTGTCGGCCAGAGTTTTTCAGTTTAAAATAGTACACCGATCTTATAAAAAGATCTTAGTTTTGTTTGTAGCGAGTCAGGGCGGGACAGATAGTAATGGGATGGGATGTGGTGGGGGAAGGGGTGAACCCTGCCCCAATCCCGCCCCATTGTCATCCCAAAGTGAATGTGTCTTGTTTTAATAAGAAAACAATTGTGATTCTATTTATACATGCACCTTGTCTACATTTGAGTTCTATTTGTTGAGGAATTTTATCAAATACGGAGTAATAAAAAACGTGAAGGGAATTGGAATGGCCAGACACACGCTGGCGCGTGCACATACATATAAAATTATATTGTACGTACTACCTTTGTCCCGAAAAAATTCGCGACCAAAAAAAGTCATTTTGATGAATCTTTTGGGAAGAGGAGTAAAAAGATACCCTGGCCTTAGTCTGGAAAAAAATGTATATGTAGTTAGATAGATACCTTCACCGAGATTATATATGTGTTGAGTAATGACGTCCAGAGTGTCGCTGGTTTTACTTAGATACTCTTCGAACCAATGTGCATCATAGAACCCTCCAGGTGCTATGATTAGCGGCTTGTAACGTGAACTGCAGTAAATCTTTTGGATTATGTGGTGAAAACGGATGGTGTCGTTAGCATACTGATCTGCAGATATCTTTGCCCCTATTGCGCTCTTTCCAACTAACTCATTCCCTGATTATCGAACCATGACCAAAAAAGCAGCAAATCTTAGCTTATTTAACACATTATATGGCTTATACGAAGTATTTCATCATACTTTAATTTCATCAAATCTTAGATGAGTACAACATTAAGAAATACCAAGTACTACCATTTATATGTATAATATTGTGAGGTATAATTACCGAATTCCCAAGCGATGATAGGATATTTCCTATGAGCAGAATATCGAATGAGAAACTCAGCATTTGTTGAATTCCAGTCTCCCGTAGTAGAACCGTCCAAATTTACGTGTCTTCCATATAGAGCATTCAAGCCAAAAATGATAGCAGCACTGAATAACGAAGAACACAATCACAGTTAGTAATGATCAATTAGCTAGCTAGGTATATTGATGATCAAAATTGGGCATTTATATAAAGTATAATACTTATTATTGTTACATACCGTGATCTTTTGAAGAAGTCATTTAGTTCATCCCATCTCGACAAAGGTAAGCACCCTTTAGTAAACTCAAATAATTGTGCGCGGTCAGATTGAAATGGCTTGCATGTTTCATTAACACTCGTTTGGTAGATGACCTTATCTTGTAAAGTGCCACCCAACCGAATTCTTAAAGGAGAGAATGCTGCAAAGATATAATTATTGGTTTTATTATGATAAAGATAATCTCATCAATTCTCCGAGGGGTACGTTAATTCCAATTCAAATTGATGCATTTTAATGTGTCATCTTAGACGCATTGGATTAAATGTTTCACAACGTGTAGTGAGAAGATTAATTATATTTTAAAAAAAATTAATGCTTTTGTAACTTAAATAAAATATAGTTAAAGTAGACCGCAGGAATAATACAAAATTTCTAATGTTGCAATTATTTAAGAACGGATCGAGTACGTATATAAATATGGGTGGATTTAAACAAAAACGTTGCCTACCTTTTATTGCATTTGAAAGAGTGGGATGACTGATGAGATCCTGCACGTAAGCCAGAGACGAAAAAGAAACACATCGATAAAAAGATCACTTATAATGGATGGAAATTTTCAAAACATCTTGCTGATTGTTTTAAAAAAGAATTGAAGGGGGAAATTAAAGGATCAATTTGTGAAGAAATACATCCTCCCGAAGAAAATATACATTTATGATTAAAATAAAAGTTGTCTATAAAAATGTGACCAATTAAGCTGTGCAGTGATTATAATGTTTTATGTTCAATTTTTACTTTTAAATAATCATGATATTATATTCATATTAACTTTAGTCATACTTTATAAATACGGATTATAATATTTTATGTTCAATTTTTACTTTTAAATAACCTTGATATTATATTCATATTAACTTTAGTTATACTTCATAAATACGGACCAAGTTTTTTCCAGTAATATTTATGAAGTAATACAAATAATAATAATAATAATATATTTTGTTTGAAAGAAGAATAGTAATACTACGTATTTTTATATTAATAAATCATAATAAAAGCTTAATGGCATTAAAAAGGATTATACTCCGTATATATTGTTCTAAATCCCGAACTAAAGGAGTGTTTGTTATTGCTTAAAATAAGCTCTTCTTAGCTTTTAACTTAAAATAAGCTGAAAAAGTGTTTGCTAATGTCTACTTCTACTTTAAAAAAGAACTTCAAAGCTAAAAATTGGAAGTTGGTAGAGAGGTGCTTTAAACTACTTTTTATTTTTCTATTACACAAAAAACACTTATTTTATCAAACACTATCAATTTTTACTATTAAACACTTTTTTCAAAATCAATTTAAAAAATCACTTTTTAAAAGTAAAAACAACCGCAGACATGTCTCGTAGGAAGGTGCGCAAAGCCGATTTTAGCTGTCAAAATATCTGGCTAGCGCCTAGGCCGTCCATGATTGGTCCATTTTATTACTTTTCTATGCAATGTTATTAGCTAATTAGCTATTTCAATGTTCAATTTAATCGCAGCAACGTTTTTTAATACTAAAAACATGATGAGAGTTCATGGAAGCGTATACCATACAGTCGGCTGTACTGCTGACACCGTACAGCCGGTGGCATTTTTGTAAATAATGATGAAGTTCATGGTTTCTCTTAAATGAGCATTGATGTTTGTTGGATGAGCATCGAGTCTGTTCTTCTGAGTATTAAGAGCCTAACAATGAGCACCAATGATCTCTGCTTCATACCTTCTAATTCAGTTTCTTTTTATTATTTTTTCGTTTATAAAAAATCTTAGATTATGTTTATAATTAATTTTAATATGTGAATATAATGTAGTATGATATGTTTGATATGTGCATCATTTTAAAATGAGTATAAAGTAGTACGAAATGATCATATATAATTTACAAAATGAGTATCAAAATATTCAAAAGCTCATTTGTGTATGCTCATTGATTTTGGGCGTTATATTTGATATGTGCAACCTTTTAAAATGAGCCTAAAACAGTACCAAATGAGCATTACATAACTTACAAAATGAGTATAAAAAAATTAAAAAACTCATTTGTGTGTGTTCATCCATTTTGGGCGTTATACTCATTGGAGTTTAACATAAAACTCATTTCTAATTTGTTCAATAGTCATTTGTGTATGTTCAATTTTTTTTAAGCGTAGACTCATTTGAGTTTAATATAAAGCTCATTTGAGATCACTAATATCAAATGAGTACACATTAATTACAAAATGAGTATTCAAAAATATCAAAAACCTCATTTAAAATGTGTACAATGCTCATAATTTCTTTTGTATATGTCCATATATGTACAACTAGGTATAGCTAATGTTTCTCCTGAGTTAAAGCCAAACAAGTTACCAAAAACATTGAACCTAAACGGAAAGAGTTCAAAAAAAGAAAAGAAAGAGCGCAGCCCTATTCATCCGTCGGAGTTGTGGTCTTTGCGCACAAGCCGGAGTCTGAGTCCGTTTTTCTTGCCAGATCATTGCGAGTCTGCGACAACGAGCAGCAGCGAATAGGGAAGGGAACGATCGAGCAAGCAGCCGGAGAAGGTAGCGAAGCTAGATCGAAGAAGGAGAAGGTAGCGCGCATAAGCCCAGAAGGAAAGAAAACGCCGGCTGTACCGTGCGCACAGTACAACCGGCTGTACGATGTATTTTACCAGAGTTCATGGCCCTCCCGGTAGTTCGAAAAATGGAGATGTTTGGTTTTGGAAGGTTCATGTGATAACCTAAAACCAGAGGTTTTGACGGGTAATAAATTACTTCCTCCGTCTCGTTATGATTATCTCATTTTACTTTTTTCGAGAAATCCAATTAAACTTATCTCATATCAAATTTGATATCTTATTTTATCTCCTCTTGTTCCGGTGTTAGTGGAACGGAGATAGTAAATCATAATTTGAATTTAATTTAAAATGAATATTAGTTCAATTATTTGAATTCGTCATATCTAAAAGATAGTTTTAATTTCTTCAAAAATCTCTTTTTCAAAATTATTATTCTGAAACGAGAATATGACTTTCCTTCTCTCATTCCCCTGAATTCCCCAACATACCCTAAAAATTACCTTCAAAACATTCATCACCCCTTCTCCCCAAATTCCCCAACATACCTTAAGGGTTGATGAGAAGGTTGATGCGGGTTTAATTTATAACTCTCCTTTTCAAGTTTGGGAGTTGAAAATTTTGGAGGGGTGTTTTGTAGGGCTTTTGCATGCCTCAAAATCCTCTAAATGCTCAATTTTTAGTTTCCCTAATTAGAAGGGTTTTGAAGGAGAAGTAATGAAATGATAATTTAAGCTCAATTAAAAATGAATATCAGTTCAATTTTTTTTAGTTCGTCATATTATCTCAAAATGATTTTTTAGTTCGTCATGTCTCGGAGGAAGGTGCGCAAAGCCGATTTTAGCTACCGCCTAGGCCGTCCACGATTTTAGCTCTCGGAGGGGGTTTTACGCATGAATAATTATAACACAGGGGTCTTTGATGCATTTTTTAAATCACATGTATTAAACCCGAGTTATTTTATTCATAGAAAATTTTTACCTTTGACTCTAGCAAATTAGCTATTTCAATGTTCAATTTAACCGCAGCAACGTTTTTTAAAACCAAAAACATGATGAGTGTTCATGGCACTCCAGGCAGTTTTGGAAGGTTCATGTGACCCTCTAAAAAACCCCTCAAACGTTTAATTTTAAATTCCTAAAAACCGAGGTTTTGAAGGATAATAAACTACTTCCCCCGTTCCTTTAACATTGTTTCATTTTATCTTTTCAGAAATCCCACAAAGATTGTCTCATACTAAATTTGGTAAAGTTTGCTTGATTATAAATCATTTTTACTTTATTTTTACTTTATGTTAGAGGGACGAAGATAGTAAATCATAATTTGAATTTAATTTAAAATGAATATCAATTCAAAAAAATGTCGTCATGTTTCAAAAATAATTTTAAATATAATATCTTGAAAAACTCTCGTTTTCACAATGTACTACTCTGAAATACTTCCTCCGTTCCATTTTAATTGCAACAGTCAACATTTCACGTTTGCCAACGCACAAGTTTGACCATTAATATTTTTCATTCCTTATTAGTAAAAAATTTAAAAAATTCATATTTTGAAAATTAAGAATGAGAAGAATTTAACAATATTTTTAAAAAATTTAATTTATAATACATTAATAAATAAAATACAGTCAAAGTAAAATATGTGAATAGTGCAAAAAGTCCAATTTGAGAAGAGAATTTTCTCAAATTCCCTTCTCTTTCTCCTCCAACCACTTACCTTTTCATAGTCTTCATCTCTCATTCCCCCAAACACCCCAACATAACATACCCTAAAATAAAATACCTTCGAAACCTTCATCTCCCCTTCTCCCCAAATTCCCCTAACATACCAAGGTACTACTTGGCTTGCAAAGAGATGGAAGACGTACCAAATTTAGGAGAGAAGCATTGGCCCAAGGACAGTTCTGAGTCTTACTGTCACACTTAGTTTGAGGCCACCAATCCAAGGTAGCACATATGAAATCTTTGTCTGTTGTTCCTGCGGCACTGTCACCAACCACATATACTGTCCCATTCCATGCCACGCCATCTACAACCAGACTTCCATATCCAGAAACGAACACCGCCCATATTGCCCACCAAATAACCCATGACTCGCCCATTATCATATTTCTAATCTGATTCATCGATCGATGACTCCAAATAAACTAAACACCACATCTGTTTATATAGAGCTTGTAACTTGTAAGGTGGGGAAAAAGCTACTTTACAAAAGTGACTTGCTGGCATCCCCTGAATCCCTGGCAAACTTGCCATTACAGCTTGGTTTTACACAAGAAGAAAATAAAAGAGCGATGCAAAATAAAATAAAAAGATTTTTTTTCCTGGTCAAACATAAACCAAATTGTGAAAAAGGAGTAAGTATATTATCAGTCTCAAGATATAATATCATCTTTACTCTTATTAAATAAATGAATATAGAGCCCGTTTGGTAACACTCAAATCGACTGAATCGTCTGATTATTTTTGCTGAAATTTATGAAATTCTGGCTGAAGTTGTTGCATTGGCTGATTCTGTTGATATATGAAAAAACATAGTTAAAATATATTTTATGAATAAAATAAATAAAATATATATGAAAAATAGCTACAATGATCATCTACAATAAATTCAACCAATATAGCCAGAAAAGTAATTACAACATTACGTTTTCTTATTATTACACAATTCGGCATGCAAAATCAAATGTTACGTGTTTGGTTAAAAAGTTGTTGATAAGTCTGATAAGCCGAAAAACAGAGTCATCAAACGAGCTTATAATTTGAGATTTAAAAAAACATTACTTAAATGAAATTTATTTATAAAATTATGACTAACAGTTATTGTAGTATTGTCTCATAATCACTTACTCACTTAATATAAAAATTGAATCTATAACTAAATTATTACTATAATAATTACATTTGCAATTAATGTTACATTTCTATAAAGAACATTTACTTTAGTAATGTATATTAAATTATTTCTAGAAGTTTCCATAAATTATAGTGCACGGGAAGAAAAGAATGATACTTCTAATATTCTTAATTTAAAAATATTAGATGCTTCAAATGGAAAAGAAAAGCACGTTGAATACTGTTTATTTTTATTAAAAAGAGAACTAAAATTTCTCAGATTGAGAGGGAGAAGACTTGGGGGAAGTGAAGGGAAAATGATTCCAGTCTTGGCAAACAACTAAGGATATTGACTTATGTGTGCACTTTGGTGGTCGCGGGGTCCACTATTTGTGTTACTTGATATTCCATTCCATAAAACTTGATTAAAGTTGACTTGCACGTAGATTAATAAAATGAAAACTGTGTTATTGATATTTATGCATAGAAGAGAGAACTATCTTTAGCCACACACTTGTTACTTTAAATGATAATGACAAAGTTTTTTGAGACGACAAAAAAAGAAAAGTTGACCAAGTTTTATGGGATGGAGGTAAATATTATTGGAAAGGAGAGTCATCACATACGATTCAAGTGACGGGGAGACTTCTAGTCGCCATGGACTTGTAAATTGTAATGACTAATGACTTATCATTGACGTTATATTTGAAATTTTATACTCCATATTTTGTTTTTTTAATAAAAAATCATTTTCTGAAGCTTCTATTGATCTTAGCCAAGGGGGGTCAGAGTGGTCAGTCAACCCCTTCAAAGTTTAAACGCATGGAGTTTTAAAATACCTTTAATTTGATAGTAACGTATTACAAATGAAAAATTATGACTCTTAGAAAATCATCAATATCTAAACTTAAAATGAGTGATAAGAAATCTTGTTTGTAAGCCGGTGTGAGGGGAAGGCACAGGGCCTCATCCGAGGCAAGAATCGCTATAAAAACCCTTCGACTAAACCCATAATAAACGAGTTAATAATACTCCGTATGTATATATATATATATATATATATATATATATATATACACATATATATACACACATATATATACACATAGATATATATATACATATATATATATGTATATATATAGATATAGATATATACATATATATATACATATATATATATATGTATATATATAGATATAGATATATACATATATATATACATATATATATATATATATGTATATATATATACATGTATATATATATATATATATATATATATATATATATATATATATATATAGAGGAATGTTCATGTCAGGCCGATCTGACGGACTGCATTGTCCGGCCGAGCCCGCTTGGGCACCTTCCCGGTGGAATTTTTTAATGACTAACAAAATCAGCTCACAAAATCGGCTGACTATCTTATAGATTAGATAAACGGGCTTTTTAAAGAGCCCAAGCCTAGTTTGATTACTAAACAGGTTAGGCCAGGCTTTTAACAGGCTAGGCCACAGGCCCCTGACAGGCCGCCTGGCCTATTTCCACCCCTAGATATTTATACTATAAGATAGTAGGTGGGGGGCGATGTGGCGACCCCGAGTGGTTAATCCCCAATCTTAAATTCTCATATGAGGTGAATTAAATGCAATTGCACGTCCACTATAAGCGGGAAATCTCTAAGTGTTGGGTCCCATTCGGTACATCCCGTCTGAGGCAGGCCGTGTGCAATAACTACCTTGATTGAGACTGACCGGGTTTCGAGTGTGGATGTCGGGCCCATTGTTCCGATCGGGCCCCGATTGGGCCGCAAGGGGTGTCTCAGGCTTACCCATTGCTGAATCCAGTACCCCAGCACAAGTCCCCCATTTCTAGTGTTCAGGGTGCACCTTGGAAATGAGGAAGTAGTGAAATGTTGTGTGTGGGTCAAGCGAGTTGCTATGTGATCCGCGATCACGTTTGATCCGGCCCTAAGCATACTTAAGTATTAGTTACACTAAAATTAAACATGTTTTCATGTTTTTTCAGAAGTTTGGGTGTTTATATGAACACTTTGATTGGCTGGGGACCCGCTTCTTAGTCAAAATAGATGGAACTATTTAAAAATATCAAATTTTAATAACGATTCGATTCTTATAAATTATTTATAGAATCGATATACAACCAAACTATTCCTTAACGGTTCGATTCTTGTCATTTTATGGTTCTTAGTGTTTAAAAAATTCTTATAAATTACTGGTAAATTTGTGCCACATAAAAATATTCTTATCATTATTTCAATTCTGAAAAGTTCATTTCAAACATAAGTACATAACAAACTGAAAATTTTAGTAAATGAAACAAAACAAGATATTCACTACAATCAATACTTATAATCTTGAATCAGTGACGTAATTAGTCAACAAAAAAGTTCATTCATCTCAAAATAGTGATGATGGATAGCGTACCCGGAGGGTAGCCTATCTCAGGGATACCACGAGGGATATCTAGAGAGAAGTCGGAGCAATAAGTAAGAGAGAGAGAGAGAGTCAAATTGTATTAAGTGAACTCGTTGTGTGTTACAGAAGAAAAGGAGACGCTATTTATAGTAGGCATAAATGCTAGGCGCATTAGATGGGGTACACGTGTCAGGTGATCAACGGTGGAGGGTCACTCCAGCCACGCTGGCGCCGACATTGCATGTGGGAGCGCATTAAATGCGGTGGTTGGATGTGATGCCGTATTGAATGCGGTGGTTGCCTGTCCTCAGAGGGAATCTTCGCTGAGTGGGACCCCTCGGCAATTGTGCTGAAGGCACCCCTAGGCCGAAGGCTGCTGTTTCAGCCAGAATCTCCCAGTAGCTTCGTGGGTCCGAAATCGGTTGTCTCCTGGAATTTTGTGCCTTCGGCCATGGTGCCGAAGGCTATGTGTATCATGGGCTCCTTTAAGCTTGGACCGCCGTATCTGGGCTTTATGTGCTTATTGGGCTTATTGGGTTTGTCCAGGAGAAGTAGGAGTATGTGGGCCGGGAGTCCCTGGGCCATATACTCCATCAAGTGAATTTAATATAAAAATAAATAAGTAAATATACATTAAAATATACGAGTATGTACTAATAAGTAATATATAATATTTTAATTATTCTATACTAGTATATAACTGTTCCAAAAACGTATTTTTTCAGGAATCGAAAACCGAATCGCTAATAAGAAATATGAATCGAACCATTAACAAATAACCAGTGAATGTTGGAACCAAACCATGTCATAACGGTTCAATCCGGTTCGGTTTTCCAGTTCTTGGTTCCAAAGTCTCACCCATACATTTTGAACCTATAATAGGTCTACCACTGATCACTGTTGTGAAAGTGACAATTTTTAAATCTTCAACTGTTATCATAGTGACATTTTTGGTATAAGGTTATTTTGACAAAATGGTAATTGTAAGACTAAAAATGTCATATTTGCAAAAGTCCAAAGGCTAAGGTTGAAAAACTTTAAAGAACCATCAAAAGTATGGATACAATAATAGGTGGATGAAGAGTGCACAAATTTCTTAACCATATAGATAGTACTTTGTAGTATGTATATGATATACATCCATATCATTTTTATTCCGTCCTTGGATCATTGGAAAAGATTCTCTTTGCCCAAGACTAGAAGGAGATCATATCACATTACCATGTGACTAAAATGATCGAAGTTATAACAGTGCGTATACGCTGCAACCGGCGCAGCATGAGCATTATGCTCCTGTGCCCAAAACGGCGTCGTTTGAAGCATGCTACTCCAACCTGAAAATTCGTGTGTTACTGTTCACGCGCGTGAACAGTAACCTTTTTTTTCATTGTTCAGGAACAGAATGTGATGTAACTCGTGTGTAATAAAATGTAACTCGCGTTATTGATAAATGTAAGTCAAGCTCAGTCGAAATGTAACTTGTCAAATACATAGTATAAGAAATAAAATTTGATTTCAATGAAAACAAAGAGTCTAATTGTCCAATTATGTATTTATGTTACATATAAAGAGTGTATACGTTTTGTTTTTAATATCAAGGTTATAAAAATGTTTTTTTTATAAAAAAAGTTTTTATTTGAATAGCATGGGCTTATTGGGTTGTGTAACTCGCATTATATTTTGATGTAACACGTGGTTTGGCAAATGTAACTCAAATATAAACAGGATGTAACTTGTTAAGAAAAGTTGACATGTAACTCACGATATAAAATATGTAACTTAAGCAAATCTTGATGTAACTTAAGTGTGCGCAAGATGTAAGTTGAGTATGGTCTAAA